AATTTCCTACCACTTTGTCTGTAATTTGGTAAGCCCCTCCTCTTATTATGTTATCCTTCTTTTACTCTTTAAAATAAAAAAATTTTTAAAAAAAAAGGGCTTAGTACTTACCTATCTGCAATGTTGGTACTATTTTCAATGGAAAGACCAGAATACAAATTCAAGTCTGTCAAATCCTGTGTTCCTTCCTCTGTGCATTACTGCACACAGAACCAATTCAAGTCTGGAAAGGGAATGCAAGCAGAAATACTATACAGAGTGAATCAAAAGTGTTTTTGATCTCTTTCTAAGCTGTTTAAAAGTTTAGTATAATTGGAAAATAATATTAGGTGTGAACCTGTACGTACTGTAACAGACAGCTACAAGTTGGTTGGTCCTTAGGGACAGTTGTGAAGCCTCCCTCCCCTCCTTTCTACAAACAGACCATTTGACAAACCGGTTTCATACTAGATGATATGTGATGCCATGCTGAGCCCCAATCAGGGCCAGGTGCTGTGCTGAGTCCCAGGAAGATGGGGTGATGGGATAGCCAGAGACATCAACTTCAGGACAATAGGAAAACTCAACTGACAATACATAAATAAGCAAAGAGATGTTTCAAACACAGTGGGTTCTTCTGATCCATGAATTCTATATCTGTACATTCAACCAATGGTGGACTGAAAATATTCAAAACATAAAATTATGCCCATACTAAATATGTAGACTTTTTCCTCGTCATTATTCCCTAAACAATAGTTACATAGCATTTTCATTGTATTATGCTCTATAAGTAATCTGGAAATTATTTAAAGCATACTGGAGAATGTAGGTAAGTTTTTTATAAATTTTATTGGTACATTTTAGATATACATAATGATAACATTCAACATAGGGAATTTGTACCTGTGTGTGATATATTTTGCTTCTTTTTTTTCCATTTCCTCCCCTCCCTTCATCCCCTCTTCCCCTCCTTATTTAAAAAAGTTGCTTCTATTTTGTTTCTATTTTTTTTTCTTTTCTTTCTCTCTTGTCCCTTTTTTCCTTTTCCCCACCCCCTCCCTTTTTCCCCTAGGTAGGTTTACAAGTAGAATTAGGTAGTTAGGTAGGTTTTATGCAAATATTACTTCTTATGTGAGGGATTTGAAGATTCTTGAACTTTGGTATCCACTGGAAGTCCAAGAACCAATCCCCTGTGGATATCAAGGGATGCTGTAATTACAAATCAGGAGAAAGACTACAAAGATATAGCAAACCAGCCTACCAATTTGTTTTCAAGGTCCTTTCAGGAATATCAGCAGCCTTTGGTGGTTAAAAACAGGCAGGGGTTATGCATACCCACATGCTATAACTTTGCTGCAAAGTCACGGGGAGAGCAAATCTGGATCGCATTCCAACTGTAAACAGACATCTTATTACTAAGCATGAAAAGTCCTCCACCTGTCTACAAGCAGAGAGAGATGGCCCTCTAACATGCAGGGTACTCGTGCTAGTGAAAGAAAGACTGTTAGAGTTTGGCTTTTAAAGGTTCCCCAAAGATCATGTGTTGATGGTTCAATTCCCAGATGAAGGTGCTATTGGGAGGTGACAAAAACTTGGGAGGTGTGGCCCAGTGGGAGGGAATGGGTCTATGGGGGCTATATTTGGGTCATGCCCCCCCTCCTAGCTACTATGAGGTAAGCAGCTTTGCTCTGTCGTGTGTTCCCTCCACCGTGAGGCTCTGCTTCACCACAGGCCCACAGCAATGGAGCCAGCTGACTATGGAATGAACCTTCTGAAATCGTGAGGCAAAATAAATCTTTCCGCCTTAAAGTTGATCTTCTCAAGCATCTTGTCACAGTGATGGAAAACTGACTAACGCATACCACAATCGCACTTGGCACAAGATCCACAAACTTGGCAATAGGAGCCCAAGTTCCAACCTCCAGCCAGCTGCCAGCTTCCCTCTCCCTATGAAATCTGGCCATAGCCTTTCTGGCCTCAGGGCTGGCTTTAATGCTTCTGCAACCAGTGCAATGCACAGAGGAGAGCTCACACCTGGGGCTTAATGTTCTGCAGTTATCACATTGAAATTCTTAACGCTTTTATCCTAGACTTTGTATCTGTAAGTGAAGTCCAAGAGGACAGTGAAATACAGAGGCTTGGAGCTATAGTTTGGCCTCCTATTGCAGGCTCACAGCCTTCTGCTCCCTGATTCCTTCATCCTGGATCCTACCTGACCTCCCACTAACCACTATCCTGTTTTACCCCATGAAGGGTCAGAGAATAAGTGTGGGAATGGTTAGGGTGACTCAGGTGCCCTGTAGTGCCCTTGTCCCAAGAATGGTGGGACATGGCTATGACCATCACTGCCACAACATACCAGTGTTATAGCTGGTAACTCATCAAGGGCAAGTCTTCTGCCCAGCTCAGCCAGGTACCTAGCACATCCCAGTGCAGAGGTTGCAATATTCTTGGGGCTACCAGTCCACCATGGGCTTAGCCATGTGTCTATGGAAAGGGGAAAAGCCTGGCTTGATTTTTCTACCCCCACTCAGCACAGTGCCTTGGGCCAGCAACTGGTAGAAAGGGGACCTGGAAGCTGATGGGCTCTGTATCCATCAGTGCTTGTTAGAGAAAACAGATTTAATAAAAATATACAAATATATAAGAATTGACAAAGTTGCCTTAGAGTGGCCACCCTCAGAGTCATGTCGGAAGAGTGAAAAAGGTTTGTCTGCGCACTGGGGATCCGAAGGATTCAGCCAAAGGCCCAGAGCTCAGTGTAGCGTCCTGTATGAGTCCATATCAGGAGGCCAAAGGGTCTGCGCTAGAAGCCAGGAGATGACATCAAAGGTGAAAGCAAAGGCTGGAGCTCTTCCGAAGAAAACAGAAACCATCCTTCCTTCCTCATGTCCCTTTTGTACCATTCTGGTGTAACAGAACTACGCTGAGCCAATTTAGTTGAGTGCTACTTATTCAAGTTAACACAATCAATCAACCATCACAGGCACAATGAGCAAGCTGAGCTGTGGACCCGTCTCTCTGACCTGAGAGCATCTGAAGTCACCCCTGTGCATTCTGTGATTGGGGAGTACGGCACTGAATGCCAAACTTTTGTGGTGCTATAACAAACACCTACCACTAGGTACTTTATGAAAGTAAAAGCTTTATTAACTCACATTTTTGAAAGCTGAAAATCCAAGATCAGGTGGCCCCATCTCTTTACTATCTAGTGAGGACTTTCCACCTGCATCACAATATGGCAAATAGCATCATGACAGAAGCCCATGTGAGAGGGAAAGAGAGATCACAGGGTTACACAGGAAGCAAGCCACCAGGGCGGGACCAGGCTTGCTGTTTATACAGCAACCTGCTATTCCCAGATCTGACCTATCCCTGAGACCACCATTAATCCATTCGTGCTGGAGGGGCCACCATGACCTAATTACCTTCCCCCAGGGCCCACCTCTTGAAGTTTCCACCACATCAACAACAGCATTGCCACACAGGGACCAGGCCTCCAGCGTATAAGCTTTTGAGGAACAAACTACACCCAAACCATAGCAGTAGTCAAGAGCAGGACCATGGAAGAAAGGGAAGTGTTATATTTCCTCATCTTGAACAGCACATCTTCCAGCTTTTTGAACATGGGACCTTGTATTTTCACTTAGCAGTGAACCCAGAAAAGTATGAAGCTCTAATCACCACTAATTCCACCAGTCAAAAATTACTTCTAATCTTCCTATGCTTATTAACCAGGCTTAAGGGATTGATTCAGATTAGGATTCTTCATATGACAATCAACCACCCTGGGATGTCCAATGGAATTAATGTATTGGTACTCATATACATTTCAAGACTGAATATCACCAACCATATAACAGGTGAAAAGAACTATGATCTTCAGAAACAGTAAGGAGGAGTAGGAATGCTACTTCAGCTAAGGTGGCCAGGGAATTCCTATCTAAACTCTAAGCTCAGCGGGATGCCTGGTCCAGAGAGACTGAACTTTGGGGGGAAAAAGTCATGTTTCATTCAATTATGGGGATGCATCCTCAGAAATACATTGCTAGTGTGTGGTACAAACGTCATAAAGTGTATGTATATGACCTAAGACAGCTACTATGTCCCTAGGTGATATAATCTTATGGGACTACTGTTGCATAACATGGTCTGTCATCACCTGAAACATGTGATATATGACTATACTTCTCTACAAAAGATGCTGCTGTCTCTTCCACCTTTGATTTGCAGTAACAGTCCTGGTTTTGTAGAAATATATGCGTGTGTCTGTAAATGTTAAAAAAGGTTTGGGAGAACCTTGCTGCCATCATCTCTAGTGACGGGTGACTGAATGAAGTTGAGGGGACACTTACTCCTTATTTTATAAGCTCCCTCATGTTTGTGTTTGTAATAGTGATATCTGTAAAGCCCAGGGACCTTAGAGCAGACCTGTATTCTAAGAATTGCCTTATGTTATGTAAACAAGGCTGCCAGAAGCAGCTGGGAACCCAGGTACAAATCCAGTGATGTTTAAACTTAGAGGAATTGCCTCCTCTGTGCCTTAATTTCCCCCTTACCTAAAATGAAGATGATACAAGGCCCACAATATAGAAAATGTATTTAAAGTAAGATTTAAATCTAGTAAAGTAAGATTTAAAGCTGGTAAAGATTTAAAAAGCTAACTCACACACAGGACTCCAAAGAGTGACACAGTCAGTATTCATACATGTTAGTGATTATTACTGGCAAGGTTTGTAGGCGCCCAGTATTTGCAGATGAGTGGTTTCAAGGATAAGATGGGATAGGCTGGACCCTCCTGGAGGAAAATAACCAAGAACCTCTCTGAAGTTTAAAGTCATAGGGACCTACGAAGGTCTGGAGGGGCCATGCCCAATCTGAGATGACAGAAAAGTGAGGATAGAGAGAATGAGGTAATAGTTGGCTGAACACCAGAGGGCCATAGAAGCAGTCCTGGGGGTGGCTCTTGGATCGTGATCAGGGTGGGCATGGAGCAAGACCATTCCGCATGCCCTGATTCTCCAGCAGATGGAAGCCTCCTAGCCTGAGACATGACTGTCCATAGAGGGCTGTAACTGGCTGCCCTTCATTTGGCCTGTCGGGCTCATGGCTGAGGGACCATGGGAAAGGAAAAGCGAGGCTTGCTCCTTTCTCCAAACTGACAACACAGGCAAAACCAGAGACAGCCACTTGTGCCTTAACCCCCACAATGTCCCCTGCACTGGTCAGGGACTGCCTAGATCTACTGGACTCTCTTTGTCGTGATGCCTAAGATAGGCAAATGATAATTATCGACCCTTTCTTTAGACTGAACCAGCCCTAGGGTTCTGCACTTATTTAAGAAGGAGAACCTTAGGGAGAAAAATATCAGTCTTTCTCTTTATACAGTATAAGATGGTGGGGAAAGGCCTTTGGGTGTCATTATCTCAAGTCACTTTGGGGGCCTTAAATGATAGGCCCCTATTTCACAAGTCAAAGTATCACTGTCCTAACCAAGGATGTTCAGAAATAGAACCACACTGCTTGAAACAGTGAATTCTGTTTCTCCAGTTTCATAAATCAATTACACATCATGCCTATTCATTCCTTCTTTTCTATCCTAACATCTGATAGGTG